CAGAGACCGCGGGGGGCATTGCCAGTGTCTGGAAAAGCAGCCCACGGGGCTTGCAGCACTCTGGAGGGGGCAGGTTTGGGGGTTGCATGGGGCCAGGTTGGGGGTCTGGTGCATGTTGATCTATGCACTAACCGGTAGGCTTTGGACAGTTCTTTTCGTCAGAGCCATCCCCACAATCTTTTTCTGAAACACAGAACCAACCAGACAGGAGAGTGGGCACAATGACAAACAAAACAACACAACACGGCACACGCACAGAGAGCGGCACAAAAACATGTCGACGCCGGGACTTGAACATTGACATGGAGAGGGACACAGAGAGGCTGTGCAGGCACAATGAGAGGCCTGGGAGGCGAGACCAGAAGCAGTGGAGGGCGCTGGGAGAGCCTTTGGTCACTGCAGCTCCTGCCCCATGGGTGCCTGGAGAGGCTCTCAGCTGCACAGAGGTGCTCCACGCCAAGACCATCGCTTTTGTGAGCATCTGGCTGCCAGACTGGTGGATCCCCAGGAAAAGAGACCATCCCTTGGCAGGGACAGCTCAGAGGTGGGGCTGCCCCAGGAGGAAGAGGCCACTTACTCAGGAAGACCCCAGGGAGAGCCCTGCACCCGCAGCTCCCTGTTAACCCCCTGCACCAGCACGTGCACTCTGCAGCTCTGAACGTGCCTCGTCTGCTCTGAAGCCACTAATTAAACCTAACGATGCAGAGCTGCTAGGAAGACTAAAATAAACCTGTGCGGAAGGAAAGCAAACCCTCTCTCCCAGGCCTAGCCCTGGAAACAGATCCGAGGCCAGACCTGAGCTCACAGGGAGCCTCTTCTGCCTTCCCTGGGGCTCCAGGACCTGGCTCAGCCCTGCCAGCAGCACAGGCCACTCCACACTCATCCCAAGCACTGGGGCAGAGTTTTGGCCACCTTGCAAAGAATGCCAAGATCTGCTGAAATGATCCCTGCCAGGCTGGTCCTCCAACACCCGCTCCCCCAAGGGCAGCCAAGGAAAATGCAGGTCTCAGTGTTGCGGGACGTGCTTACAGCCTCAGCTAACGCCTCCTCCCTTCAGGGCCTGGGCTCTGCTGTGTAGCACAAGGCTGAGAAGTGGCTCCCTGCCCCGTGCCAGGCTGGCACCCCTGCGTCTGATCTCGCCGTCCCTGGCTATGCCTGCCTTGGCAGCTGCGGGGCCGTGGTCCTTACCATTGTCACACCGCCAGTTGATGTTTATGCAGCGCCCGTTGTTGCAGGTGAACTGTGTCAAGGGGAAGCAGGTCGGGTAGGCTGCGGAGAAGGCAGAGGTATGATCAGCATTGGGGAGACACCCTGTGCCCCAATCCTCACACCCGGTCCCACCGGCGCCTCTGCCCCACACTGGGATGAGGACCGGCACTCCCCCAAAAGGCCCTGTGCTCCCAGTGCTCCCCACCCCAGCTCACCGCACGAGGCAGACTCGTCGGAGCGGTCCCCGCAGTCGTCGTCCAGGTCACACGTCCAGGAGATGGGGATGCAGCGCCCACTGGCACAGGAGAACTGGTTGGGGGAGCAGGTCCGAGCTGGGCCAGGGAGAGACAGACAGAGCTTTAGTAGCTGGTGGTGCCTTGCTTTGCTGGGGGAAACGTGGGGAACAACCTCCCAGGGCTCCTGCGAGGCACAGGCGCAGAAGTCAAACTGGCTGCAAGGTGGGCAGCAGGGACGTACAAGGCCCCTAAACCTTGGCCTCAGCCCTGCAGCGCGCAGGGAACAGCGCAGGCTGCAGCTCAGCACAGCAGTGTGAGCTCTCTCTCTCTGTTCCCTGAAGATGAGGCAGGCTCCTCACCTGAGCAGGTGGAGTTGGACTCATCCTCATTGTTCCCGCAGTCATTGTCCCCATCGCAGAGCCAGCGGTTGGGGATGCAGCGGTTGTTCTTGCACTTGAAACGGTCCGAGGGGCAGGTGTGCTGGTCTGCAGGGGAGACACATGCTCAGGACCTGCCTGTCTCCATCCCACCCCCATTCCTCCTCCATGTCTGGTGGAGAGAAAAACTGAGAAAAAAGGGCAGGGAGTCTCAGACAAACAGGGTATCCAGCATCCTAATCACCATTTTCCCCCTCAGCCCCTCGAGCCTTCTTCCCTCCTAGAGCTGGGGAGGGGACACAGGGGCCCTGGCTGCCTAACCCCATCCCAGCCACTGGCCCCACATCTGGGGGAAGCTTAGCCCGAATCCTGCTGCCCCAGGTGCATGTAAAATGCTATCCCGCCGTGCAGGAGACAGCTACGCACGGCAGAGCTCAGGGGCTTCGTCACTGTTGTCCAGGCAGTCGTTGTCCCCATCACATTTCCAGCGCTCCTGGATGCAGCGATTGTTCTTGCAGGCAAACTCCCCGGGCTGGCACTGCGGAGGGGGGATGTAGGACGGGTTTGCTGGCACGGGAAAAGCAAAAGGAAGGAATGATTTTAACCAAGTGACCAAGTGCAGGGCAGCAGTGAGGACAGTCCTGTGTCCCCAGGCTGGCAGGATGTCTACACAACTGCCCAGCACCCCTGCAAGTGTACACAGACACTCATGCCCACGTGCACCTGCTCCTGAGCACAAAATGAGAAACTGCAGCCCATGACTGAGGGGGAGAGACCCTGGCTCAGTCTGCACGCACGGGCTGTGCAGGCAGAGCTTCACCCCTCTCATTTAAGCTAGCAAAGCACAGTACTGCCCGGGCTCCAAAGCCCAAACCTGGCTCCACCCCATGCTCACAGCAGAGCAAACCAACCCCGACTGTGCGGGCAGCGTCAGACATGGCTGCACTGTTTCAGCACAGCGATCCCCAACAGGGATTTCCACCCGCTTCCCTGGGCGGGCAGCCATCCTGCTGTCATCGTGCAAGAGGAGGAACCAGAGCTGGCAACGTGACTCGTCTGCAGGCTCCCACGGGTGCAAGGAGCACCCACCTCCTGAGCCTTGGGCCAGCCCCCACCACGTGAAGCGTCGCTGCTGATGTGCCAGAGCAGAGCTGCAGACCCCGTGTCCCCACCCATCCCCACCAGGGGCCAGGCCCCAAGACAGCCTACCCTGGCAGGTGACAGAGTCTGATCCCAGGATCTGGTCCTCAGCACAGGCACACTGACGGCCCCGGGGGGTGGCCAGGCACAAGCTGCTGCAGCCGCCATTGTTTACGCGGCACTTGTTGGAGCCCACTGTGGAGGCAAAGCAGGGGTGAGATGGGGACTTCAATGCCCAGGGAACCCTGCTGACCCAGGGGGGGCTGCTGGGTGCCCCTGGGTGCCCCCGGGTGCCCCCAGCCCCCCAGACTCCCTCAACAGGCTCCCCAGTTGGAGACCCCAGTTCATCAGGCTGTGCAAGGCAGTGGGGACCCCTCAGAAGACACAAAGTGTGGCTGAACTAGCCAGGAAGCCTGGCAGAGAGGGAGAGGGAGAAAGAGAGGAAAGGTTGGAAGGGCAGGGGATGAGCCGTAGCAGGGTTTAGAGAGAGAAAGACAGGGTGCATGGGAAATGGACAGACAGGCAGGGATATGGCCAAAAGGAAGCAAGAAGAGATGGGGGCTGCTTAGGCAGGGCACTTCCTCAGCCCCCCGTCCCATCCCTCTTCCAGCCCCCCATTCCCTCATGCACAGGAGGTCCCCGTGGTGCCAAGCAGAGGCAGCCCCAGCACCTTGCTGCTGCTGTGCATCATACATCCGGATCTCGAAGATGGGCGGGCGCTCATTCCGGAGCAGGCTCACCACCTTGGAGGCCTGGTCCAGCCGGTAGATGCTGCCGCTGCGGTACTCGGTCCAGAAGAGAAAGCTGCTGTAATGGCACAGCCCGAAGGCATGGTTCAGCTCTGGTCCCTCATACACGATCTGTGGGCGTAGGGAGGCAGAGAGGCTCGCTGTTAGCTGGGATGGGTGCCTGGGGAAACCCTGCACAGTGGGGACAGGGCAAGGGATGGAGGAAAGGGAGAGGAGGGGACTGGCAGCAGGGCAGTGTGGCTGAACGTGGCCAGCCACCTACTGAGCAGACCCGCAGCAGATGCAGTCAGCCAAGGCAATGCCTCAGCTGCCCACAGCCCCAGCTTAGGGGCGATCAGCGTCTGAGAGCCCGTGAGGCCTCCACTTGCCTTCCGCTCAGTGCCATTGAGGTAGACCATCTCGATGCGGTCATAGAAAGCATCCACCCAGTAGAGGATCTTGGCTGGGATGTCCAGGCTGAGCCCGTTGGGCCACAGAACGGTCTTGGAGGTGATGAAGATGTTGCGGTTCGAACCGTCCATCCAGGCTCTCTCGATCTTGCCCCTCTTGCTGTCCTTGGGATCCTCCTCCCAGTCCGTCCAGTACATCCACCTGCCACAGAGGCTAAGCTGTTACAGAGGCAGATGGGCTCAGAGCCCACCCCACCGCTGGTCTGAAGACCAGCTCTGCCTCCACCCAACCAGGTGTGAACTCCATGGCTGCTCACAGAGCAGCTGACAGAAGCAGCGGGAAGGTCCTGCTGCCTTGTGCCTACAGACAGGCCCCAGCCCAACGCAACAGCCCAATGGTCCTCCCGGCTGCGCCAGTGCCGCCGAGCCCATGCTGAAGCTGCCACACAGCTCAGAGCCGCTGCCGTCACCGCAGCCAGAGCTGCTGTCCTGTCTGACCCCGCTGTCACAGCTCGGGAGCCACAGCAGGGCACCCGTGAGCCATGTGGAGCTGGGGACCCAGCCGCCAGCTCTGCCTGTCCCTGCTGCAGGCAGGAGCGGCCGTCCCCTCCTGCGAGCCAGTCCTGCCCACCCAGGCACCCGCACCCGTTCAGGGGGTCCACCACGATCGCTCGGGGGTGGGTCATCTTCCCCTCGATCAGTGTCTTCCGCGTCTGGGCAGCCTTCTCCAGCCGAGCCACGCTGATGGTCTTTTTGGGGCCGTCATCAGTCCAGTACAGGTTGTTCCCCATCCAGTCCACAGCGATCCCTTCCACGTTGTGGATACCTTTGGGGAAAAGCAGGAGTGGGGACTCATCACCAGGGCTGCGCGGCAGCAGGAAGATGACAAGTGGAAGCGACAGCCCCGTATGATTCACAGTGCGTTCGGCACCACCCGATCCCGACTCAAACCGACAGGCAACAACCTGCCCCAGCGCAGGCAGCTCCCCCAGAGGCACCGCAGCCAAGGGGAGCCTGGGACGGAGAAAGCTGAATTTGGGAGTGTCCTTGGCTGGTTTGCCTCAAGGCAATGCAAACCTACTCAGCTGGCAGCATGGGGATGGATTGGCCACCCAGGGACCCTGACTTGATCGGGGTGGGCCAGCTTGGGCAGGAGGGGGACATCCAGGGACAGGGGTCCCACACCTGCCTCTGCTGGGGCATGTGCTCTGTATCTGTCTCTCAATAGCAGTCTACAGATAAACCCAAACAGCAGCTTCAAACCTTAGTTTTAAGGGTCAAAGACACAAGGGAGAGGGCAGAAGCGCTATCATTACATGAGGGAATGCACTGATGGCTGCTGCTGCCGCAACCTGGGGCGCTGGGGAGGGGCTGGGCCTCTTGGCCACGCACCATCCTTTAGGATGGTCTCTCGCTCCGTGCCGTCAATCTTCTGGCGCCCGATGAGGTAGCTGGTGGTGTCAGCAAAATAGATGAAGCCGGTCTCAGCGTGGAAGTCCAGCGCTCGGGGGTTCATGAGGTTCTCGATGGGGATCATGTGCTCATCCGGCACCTTGGCTCCCATATCCATCCCACGGATGATGCCCGGACGCCCCTTCCCATACACCAGGAACAGCTCGTGCTCGGGCTCTGCAGAGAGATGGGGAGAGCCATTGCCACCAGCCAGGCTAGCGTGGCACCGGGGGTGGACAGCCAGATGCCAGTGGCATCGTGGCTTTCACAGGGTCGCAGTTACCCAGGAGGAGGCAGCAACCTGCCCCTGCACCCAGCAGGGACCACAGAGCCCAGCAGGCAGCCCACAGCTTAGGCTGGGAAGGAAAGGGGTGTTTGCCACCAGGAAGGAAGGAATTGAAAAGCTGTGCTTGCCCCGTGTGCTCCCAATCATCTGGCACGAGCGCCTCTGCA